AGAGAACGAAAAAGAAATTCTGTGGTAATCCACAACAGGAAAAAACATTATAATTTGAACAGACAAAATGTCTATTTCTTACAATTCTTTAGAAATTAAAAAAACTCACCAACATCAGGTAAAGGTTCAACTATTTCCCAATTGGGGACTGACCGTAAGAACATGGCTACATTTTGCATGGCTGTTTCTGTGGGAAAAATATAGTCAGTTAATATTTAATAAATAATACTTAATGATTAATTAATTAAAACTACTTTAACCTACCAATACCTGATTGAAAAAATGCTAGCAAGAAATGGTCTTTTTAAAAATATAGTGAAAAGTACTTGATGCTTTGACAATGAAATTTCGCATTAGAGGGTGTAAGAACAACTGAACAATGTGTAAGTGATAGAGTGAAGGTATTAAGATAACGCTGTGCATGTATGCACTTCAAATCGACAAGTTAATTACACATCTACCTTGAAAGTCATGTGAATAATTTGCAGGATCCAGGAATCTCTTCAAGGAAATGTGTCTTGTTAACATTGGGTGGGCCAGTATAAAGTTGATATAATTCTGAAAGAAAAACGGTGATCCAAGCATGTATCTGGAGTACAAAGTTGACATGTGTATCTGTTCTTTTAACATAGCCCACATACAAGGCCTAACTATTTCCTAGGGAGCTACTATGGTAAAAAATTCCTTATGTACTGCATGGCCATGCATCCATAACATGACATGTGCAGTTTCACTTCAGCTGAGAGTCTCCGCCAAGTCTAGCCACAAGGACTCAAAACTTTCAAGAAGCTAGAGTTACTCTTGGCTGCACCTCAAGCAACTCTTATGCTCCTATCAAGCTCTCCTAACTACCTGTGTGCAACTCTAACTAGATATATGCATGCTGAGCATTGACCAATTCTTTAACCCTTTAACTCCTAAGATACAATTGATAATTCTCCCTTTTAACTGCTTCACATTTCCTTAGAAATGGGTTATGAGAAATTTTTGTTTGATCAAGAAGAGAACTCCTACCTAATGAGTTTGAGCATCCTCATTACCTGTTTGCTGGATATTATGTAGAGATATTAGAGGGAGAAGTTATGCATTAATCACTTCTGGGAGTTAAAGGGTTATTATAACATACATGTACGTGTACAGCAAAACAAACATAGCTATCAATGGGGTTTGAAGATATGGTACTGCAATGTAAGACTTGACCCAACAGTCCAACTGTAATTCCACACAGCTGTACCAACAATATCAATAAATTACTACCAAAATACTGAGTTGTTCAAAATTTCCTCTTATCTGATTTTTTTTTTGTTTAAGAGATGCATCCAAGTCAACCCTATCATTAATCTTTACATGACTAGGAGTAACTTGCATCCAATTTCTCAATACAGTATCACTACTGAATCAGTAAGAACAAAGGATATAATTTCCAATTAGAAGAGTACACTGTACTTGATATGTGAGCAAATTCTCCTTGTCAGCACAGAACAAAATGTATAGAGATACAGTATGGAGAATATGGATACCCATGTTAGGGTACAAAGGGTCAACAACATTTGCCCCCCTCCCCACCCACCCTTTCCTCTCTCATCTCCAATGCTCCTGCCCCCCTGTTTCCATCCACAGATTAGACAGTAAATTTTTTTTTAAGATATCAAATCTCCTCTACATTTTTAGATCAGACAACAGCTACTGGAACTGCATTTCCATACCTGAAGACCTTGCTGTCTTTCTGCAATAAATGCTGCATCCATGTTGCCAAATACCTTTTTCGGGGGCATTGGAAGATCAATACCTGAGACCTAAGAAGAAAAGAAAGCAGTGGTACAGTAAAATATAGTACATGCAATTACAAGATAAAAAAGTTGATGATATGGATGATACTAACACCAATAAAAAATAATTATAAAAAAAACAGTGTGTAACAAAATAAATATCAAACTCACAATAACATTTTTTAAGACATGTTTCACCATAACTCCTGTCATCATCAGTTTAGTGTGTTGTATGTGTTCACTTTGTTTTTACGTGGTACATCATCATCATCATTCGAAACACAAATGAAATAATTAGGACAGGGAAGTTATTTCTTTTTTGACAAACAGCAGAATGTTCAAAACAGAGCTTTTATGTTTATTTGAAAAGGAACAATATCAAAGACTGTAAAATTAAAAAATGTACAGAGAATATTTGCCTAATTATTAAAAATGGTTGAAAGTGTACTCTAGCTGACTGCCATCAAGGAAATGAAATAGGGAAGCTTATTTGAATGATTGTGGTTAACCAATAGGGGTACTTGTTAGAACAGGGGCTCTTATTAACAAATTAAATCAAATTCAAGGGGGTGCATATTAAAGAGGGTGCATTCATTGGAAGGAGGGCACCAAATTGAATCCTAGAGGTAAATAATTACAGTTGTATTTCATCTGTATTTTCAGTTTAGGTTGCAAGTGGCCACTGCACAAACGACTCCTTTAATTTAAAGCAATGAGCTGTTTTGGCTGAGTCTGGAAACTTTAAGGAGAGGAACACAGGTGCATGGGAACATAAAAACTTTTGTCTGTCGACAGACATTCTTAATCACCCTGGTGGAAAAACCAGAGTTACATTTTGCATATGTAACCTGATAAATAATTTTATTAGTTATGGCATCCAGAATAGGATCTTGAAAGCTGAATTTTCATTTCTTATGAAAGAGGTAAAGAAAATCCAGAAGATCCTATTCTGGATGTATTAACATCTCTCTATATTCTGACTTGAAAAAGTATTCTTGTGAGTTTGAAATTTAGTTTGATTTGAAAATGGTCACAAAGTTAGTAAAGGTTACAACATGATTTCTCTTGCAATTTGGTGTTAATAATCATAAGTAAATTTTGCACAAGCTTGCAGGGCAAACGCAATTTGTGTTCTTTGGAAAATGTTGTAGTGCTTACACAGGCAGCCCAAGCTCCAGCTGTGAGATGATCATCTTGTAAAATAAGAGTCATGGCAAAACGATAAGAGTCTGTATGGGAACATTTACAACCACATCGTCACTTCAACAATTTGTTGATGTCAAGTGTCAGTGTGGTCCCTGGTGAGGCTCAGTTTGCAAAGGAGGCAGGGTTACTGGGCTATTTTTACACTGTCTTGTGTCATGGTAAATGAGTATGTGGGTCATTAAAAACTTCTGAACTGGAAACTTTGGAAGCAAACTGCAGCTTAGCATCGTTTCATGGGTCAATATTGAGTTGGTAGTGAATTGAAATTAAACTACAGTATATGTGCTTGGATTCTGCATTGGATTTAGGTCACCCAGTCATTTTGAGCCTTGATTTTTAGCTTCTTGGATTGGCATTCAGAAATTGAGTGTATACTTCTCTTTAGAGTAGTAACCCTAGAAATGGATAACTTACTCAAATAAGCTCCTTGCAACAAAGCAAGCAGTCACAAAACAAGTAATGCACTGTCAAAGTAAGGTGGGGTATTTTAAGCAAGAATTGGACTGTATTTTTTTATTCCTAAGAGCAGCCATAAATATTTTCAAACAAACTCTTACATTTTCACCATGACTCATCACTCTCATTACGGAAGATGATTGTCCCACAGCTGGAGCTTGGGCTACCTGTGGTGCTTATTACACCAAATTGCCAGAGAAATCATGTTATCACTTGTTAATAATGTACATGACAAAACATCACAGGAAGGTAGGACAGATGAAAATTTTGAAACCATGGACATGCTCTTTATAATTTGCACTTGTGTTATAACTTTGCACTTGTGTTACATGAAAATGCATTAGTTAGTACCCAATCAGAAGAGCGTAATTTTTCCATGTACATTATTAGAGATGTAACAGTGTGTATGGATTCATTCTACATGGTTATCGTTCCTTTCTTGGAACCAGCTATTACATAATGATGCACTGAACCAATATATTTGTCCAGAGAAGTAACAAACCTCTAGGGTTGACTGTAGAGTGACAAAATCACTATACCGGTGTGCAACCTTGGAAAAATAAAAATTTGATTATTAGAAAAGCAATAGTTACTCTGTAATTTTACCCAAACCATCTCCCCCTTTATCAGTGAAACGTTACCTTTCATTCAAACATCGCATCAGTACTTAGCATTTCGAATTCATTCTCAAAATGTTATTCAACCGCAGAAAACAAATTTTAATTTGATTTAATTTAATAATTGTCTCTATATCTTTGACCACATCTGAATTCAAAATAAACTTCCATTTGTACATCGGACAAGCTTTGCAATTAATTCTTGCAATCTGTTGTATATAGGGCTTGTTACAGTTTCGAAGGAGTTTTCGGAATTTCAGGCGTGATAAATTGAAATAAATTGAAGCGAGATCCTGTGGTTGTTTGTGTGACTGAAATAGCAATCACAAAATATTTGTTGGTAAACGTGTTAACCTGAATTATCGGGAAAAAATTCCGCTTAATCATCTCGATCGATGACGAGACGCAAATCTCCAAAGAGGTCGAGTCGCACATCTTATTAATACCCGGAAAATCTACACCCGGCGATTACTGAAAATAATTTTAAAACTGCAAATATGTAAAGCTTAACAAACCTGCCACGAGTCTTCTTGGTTGATGCCCCTCTGCACTTTCATAATATAATCCTACGAGGTAAACCAACAAGGAAAACAAAATATATCAAGCATGCAAATATGATTGGAAAACTAAGCGCTCCACATTATCGGCTAGCTGTAATGTAATACAACTCTTACCACATGGTCTTTCTTGGCAATTCCCTCGATTGTGCACATCATCGGTGTCGTGTCATTAATGACATTCCTTTTTCTAGGGACTACAGCCATTTCTAATCAACGTTTGTTAGAAACAGCTGAATCACCTCTGAGAGATGGGGAAGCAATGTGTTTTCGTCAATGACTTAATCGCCGAGAGTTTCATCGTCTAATTGGATGCACTGGGAACAAACTTTCGGGCTCATGTCAGCAGTGATTGGTAGGATGACAGGCGCATGCGTGTGTTTGGCGCGAAGAGAGCGGGAAAAACATGATAACGTCTGTGTGACTTTCCTAAAAATTTGTGGCTCCCCCACAGTTTAAGGGAAGGATTTTACCAAAATAAATATGCCCAAAGCGAAGGATAAAACTAAAAGAAGAAGAATTGAAGAGCTAGAGGTACATTATAAGCTTTACTCGTGTTGATTGCTGAGAAATGTGATGTAAAATGCGGTGTTTCATTTCTACAGGAAGATTCGCCGCCCAGCCAATCGCGAAAACGTGGTGCAAGGTACGTCTAGGTTAAATACTAGATAAATTTTCCTCTATTTGTTCTCCCACGAGGAAAGCTCTTGTGGAATGTAGAAGTTCAAAATAAAAGTCCTCCCCGTCCTAGTGTGTTTAATGAACCATGCAAGCTACCTACAACCAGCTCTGACAACTTCCGATTTGTGTTCTCGATCACGTGGTCAAATTCAAATTAAGGAAGTGAACACTCTTGCGTTTTGCGACGATTTAGAGTTACATCTTATTTGTCTTTTACTTCTGTTGAATCCAATAGCCAGCTAGTAGATGACGATGAAATAGAAGAGGTTGACTGTACACAGACTGGAAAATCTCAGAGTCAGAAAACACAAAACTACAAAGAACTCTCCAAAGAAGAATTGAAGAGAAAGGTATGCTGAATGTCTTCATATGATGAGCTGTAATATACACACACTTACATGGTTCTTACTCATGACAGGAGGGAAGATGCATAGATGATGTCACCAGACAACATTTTGCTTTCTGTATCATGTAAAACAACATGTTCATGTTACTCTGGATCTGGAAAGTAACAGATCACAGATGACACCAAAATATGTTAAGAGCATCATTGACATACTTGGCTGCTCCTTGTATGCTATGTTTTTGTTCTTATCACATTATCACATCATCTGGGATTGGTAATGTGGAGTCAATTTGTCAACTCTCTCTCTCTCTTGTTTTCTCCATTATGTGCATTTGATTTTGGCCAAATTATTTTGCCATGTATAGAATGTTTTGAATTATTCTTTTTGTTGTTGTTGATATTTTTTTACAGACATCTGATGTTGCTAGGTATTTATTGTTCACAGACAGGAAAAAGTATCCAGTCAAACGTGGAGGTACATATTTAAGATGCAGTACCTTTGTCTCAAAATGTGAATATGAAAATGTCAACATGAAAATCTTGATCAATGTAGACAATCTACAAGATTTTCAAACCACATGCAGATCATTTACGAGCAGCAGCAAAATTTAACCCTTTTACTCCCAAGATCTGATTGTTAATTCTCCCTCCTAACTGGCACACAATTCCTTGTAAATAAGTTATAGGAATTTGGTGTTAGATCAAGGTAACAACTTCTTCCTGATATGTTTGAGTATACTCATTACCTGGTGGCTGGATAATTTACAGATATTATAGGGAGAAGTTGTGAGTTAATAACTTCTGGGAGTTAAAGGGTTAATCCTCGCTGCATGTAAGGTCCAAAACGTAACATTACTCAAAGAAGACTCTGACTAGTGATTGTCCAGTTCTCAATGTTTTATTCCTCACAGCAACTGAACCCTTTCACCCATAATTGTGATTGGCATCTAATTTCTCCTTACATTATCACCCTTGAGTCAAATATTACCGGTAAGGTTATAAGAATAAAGAAAAATATCACCAACTAAGGAAGCTCCTGATCGGTGAACAAATTCTTTACGTCAGTACCTTAGTAAAAGTATAAAGAACAGTATGGAGAATATGCATACTGATGTTAGGGTGTGAAGGACTAAGAGATGTGTGGAGAAAGATGGAGCTTAAGTGTTGATTAAGAAAGAGGTGATGGTCAAATTATGAGGGGAATAGTTTTGGGCTTGCCATCATACTGAATACTGTTATTTGCTTCATAATGTAGTCACAATCTCTGTAGACCGTAACAGTGACATTTATGATAGGGAGATATATAGGATGATGCTACATCATTGTGTTATCATTTTCAGTAGTCTGGGATGATGTAAAAGTCTTTACCTTTGCAAGCATCTTTCTTTATTTTTTTCTAATTTTATGACTATTTTTCTTATCATCAAGCATGAATATACTATGACTCCTTGTACTAAACTCTGCCTATGTGATCTGTAACTGTTTCAGATATAACCAAGAATGTGCTAAAGGAACATGCCAAATCTTTTAATGAAATCTTTGACCATGCCAAGAAAAACTTAAACAAGGTATACAAATACATTTTGTAGAGAGCATTGTTTCTATTAGAATATCTCTGGATTCAGTCTGACTTGTTCTGATTGAGAGCTGTCACTGTCAATTTCCTATTGCTGTTTGCCTTCCCTCATCAACTCAGAATTGATAATTAAATTATTTGTTTCACTTGCCAGCCAACATACACATAGCACAGCAGTTTCCTTAGAAACGGATAGCCTCTTTTATTTATATGACTGTAGGAAGGTTTAAAACCAATGGAATGGGATTTTCACATGCCAATAATACACTTTTCAAAATGAATCTGCCATACTTTTCAATTATCAGTAACGCCATAACCTTAGACATGTAAGGACCTTGTGTTTGCTGTGACAAGGTGTCTTTCACAAACACTCCACTTAACAGATACCATCATTTTATTTTTGCAGGTTTTTGGAATAGAAGTGGAAGAAATTGATGTAGGAAAGTCAAGAGGTTATATTTTAGTGGATGGTGTCAAAAGTGAAGAACAGCATGAACTAATTGACTGGTAATTCTATTTAAATCCCTTATTCCCAAGATAAAATTAGTAATTCTTATTTCCATGCTTCTATAATTCTGTGTAAATTGGCTATGACAATTTGGTCATCTATCAAAGTATCACCCTTTGGCTCTGAACCATTTATGACTACCCATGGATGACTAAGACTGAATTTGTCTGTATCATATTAAGTCTAACTGCTATTGTCTGAAAAATAGCTGCATTGTTCATACACTAAATTGTTCACTTTGGTGATAAAAGCATGAAATTTTGTATGCTTAGTACCAATCTTGTTACAAATAATTTTTGATGTGTGGGTTGACTGAAAACCCTGCTGCCCTTGGAAGATGGATGGTGGTTATGCACCAGAGCTGGCTAGAATGTTTGAAGGGTTCTCACCAGTGAGAGCCGAACTCACCATGAGCAAACACATGAGTCACAGCATCCCCAGCAACCAGTTTTGCTGCATTAAGGTAAGATGGGGATGGCAGCTCAAAATAGTCATAGGGTGTCTTTCTAGACAACCCTCTCCCAAGCCAAGGACTCCTACAATGAACTTAACCTAACCCTTAGGCAGCAAAACAGGTTGTTGGCAATGCTGCAAATGCCAAAAGGTTAGTCTAACTTGCATTGGATTGAGCAACTGTGGAGGTAATTGTAACTAGTTTGTGAAACTCACACTTTGAGTTGACTCAGTTCATATCAATCTCAAAAGCTTTCCTGTAAATTCACAGTTTTCAACAACATCTTAGTGTTTGTAATGGCTATATATGGTTATTCTCACTGTATCTTGGCCCTTTTCTCTAGTATAGTACCAATAATTCTATGATGGACTTATTTTCAACCTTCCCCTCAAGATGTACAGTAGTATTCATTTCAGGTGATGGGGGTGTTAAGAAAATACAGTGCAAGTGCAGTATTGATTAATAAGGAATGCCTAAATGTAAGACCTTTTCAAGGTCAGAAACACATGAAAAGCCAGCATGTGGCCACACATAAAAATGATAGTGGATTGCTTGGCTTTCATCAGTGCAGTAAACCATTAGTATATTCCAGCACAGGTGCCTCAATCAAGATTCTCAAAATTGAAAGAAAGGACACTTGATCACATTTAAGGCAATTAATGACACAATATATCATTTGTTACTGATATATCAGTTTCAAGTTTGTTTTAGTGCTCCTAGACGATTTAATTATCAGCCTCATTTCTGGGTTGGCGATTTCGGGGCATGTGCAGATCTCATGATCAGAGCGTAACCTAGCTTGGATCCATACGATGTATCAGAAATGATATGTTACAGGATTAGTAGCAAGCATATCAAGTTTCATGCTTTTATCACAAAAGATGGATGATAGCAGCTAGACTTCATATCAACACATTATCAAGCAGATAAGTGGTGAGAATAGCAAAAAATATCAATTAGGGGATCATTAGTTGATCCCACACCAAATTCTCAGAACTAACAACATAAGAATTGTATGACAGGGGGTAGGAAGAGTCACTAATGAGATCTTGGAAGTGAAAGGGTTTAGTGCGTCTATCCTCATTACCCTGAGATGAGTTGTCAGAGAAGTTAATTGCTACTGGGAGGAAAATTTTTTACATACTGTTTTATAGAAGACCAGCCAGGGAGGATCATATCTTCACTTCTTTTATGATACTTGTGTTTTAGGGGAGATGATCTTCCCAAGATGGGTCTGCTGATGGTTGTGTTAGGCATGATTTTTATGGGTGATCATGTGATCACTGAATGTAAGTACAACTGAGGTATTTTTGGCTGAGAGGAAAACTTGCTGATGTCTACACCATTTAGTATGATAAGCTGAATTATCCCTTTAACCTTAGAGAGTGACCAGCTTCTAATTTCTCCTTACAATGTCACTCCTGAATCAAACATAAAGGTCACGAGAATCAAGGAAATGATCACCAACTTAAAAAGCTCCTGATTTTTAAACAAATTCTCTTTGTCAGCACTTCAGGAAATGTATAGAGAACAGTATGGAGAATATGCATTCTGATGTTAGGGTGTAAAGGGTTATACATGCATTTTGAATGGTTCTTACTTACACTGTATGATCTATAGGAGGGCAGATGTGTAAATGATATCACTATTAACAACATTTTGCTTTTTTATCATCTAAAAAAAATTAGATTCCAAGTTGCCATGGGTCTATACTGTAATTGGTCTCAGTAGAAATCATAATGTGGTTTGAAAATCAGTGAAGTAATTTGCTGCAACCTTCTGTGCCACCTTCTTTTTCCTACCACATTTTTGTGTCATCTGTGATTTATTACTAATTGTATAATAAGCTCAGTTATGCATGCATTCTGATTGGTTCTCACTTATGATCTATTGGAGGACAGACGTATAGATGACGTCACCATTAAAACTTTATTTCTGTATATTTTAATTCTTTATTATATAAAACAAATAGATTCCAAGTTGCTGTGTATCTGTTCAGCAATAGATCACAGAGGACATCAAAATGTGGTAAGAACATCGGTGACACACTTGGCTGCACCTCGTGTGCCATTTTTTTTTTTTTTACCACATTTTGACATCATCTGTGATCTATTACTGAACAGATGCACGGCAACTTGGAATCTATTTGTTAAACAGAGGCATGGCAACAGGGAATCTATTTATTCATTTTTGTCATTCAATAACAATATTTAAAATAATACGGACTTAAATATATAGTGGTATCCATGAGTCAAATGTGATAACCAGACCTAGCAGCTAAGAGATAAAGATAAATAACGCTCTGGAATGGCTTTGAATTTTCTTGCTGGTATCAATATTTTACAATTTGGTCTATCTCAGTGTAAATAGTGTCGAATATCTGGTGTCAATATTAGCCCATCCATACAATTAATTACTTTATCAACACCAGTGTTGTCATCAGCAATATAATCATTATTATTTTGTTATTATCATCCTCATCATTATCCTAGTTCCTCTTAAGGGTGTTGTGTATTAATCTGAGTTGTGCCATAGATGTACGTGTATTGCTTGGCAAGAGTTACATAAGTGTACCTTAACCCTCTAACTCCCATGAGTGACCAAGATAGAACTTCTCCTTACAATATCAGTACAATGTCAAGTAGGAAAGTGATGAGAATAGAGAAGAATATAACTTGGGGGACTTAAAGTTGATCCAATGCTAAATTCTCCCGAGTAATATCAAAAGATTATGTGGTAGACAGTAAGAAGAAATACTAATTAGATCTTAGGAGTGAACGGGTTAACAAATTAATTCACTGGTTGTACCGTCTGTTGAACTCTCTGGTACAGCAAACAGCTTATGAAATGATCTTGCTGTTTTGTATTGTCGGTTGTACTCTTGGGTTGGGAGTGAAAGTGTTAAATTATTTCACTGGTGGGCTTGGCTTAATTATGACGTATAGTTTTTAGTAGTGTAGTTTGATTAATTTCATTATAATAGCTATTAGCTCTTGTTATCTTATAGTTTAATCATTGTTGTACAGTGCTTTGATCCATTAGTGGACACAGCACTCTATAAGTGTTTTTATTATTTATTGTTATTATTATTTTGCTTCTTTCTAGCAAAACTTTGGCACATGCTGAAGAAGCTTGGTATTGAACCAAAGTAAGTGCACATTGAAAGGAAAGATATTTGCCATTTTTTCTGAATAAAGGGGGTAAGTTTCTAAAGAAACTGTGGTGCTGCATCAGTGGGAGAGTATAGCAGGTAATTTAGTGTTAACAACTGAGTTCAAAATGTAAATTAGCCACCGTAAAGGGTAAAAAAGCTGACATTTTGAGCGTTAGCCCTTCGTCAGAGCGATTGGAGGAATTGTGGGTTGTATGTGGGTTTATATGTACAAAGTGGAGCTACACCATTGGTGGGAATATGGTGACAAGAAAACAGGAATAAATTAGTTGAATGAAAAGCGCTTGTTGATTCCGTGGGGATTAACAATCATAAAACTTCAGTGGTCGAGTGGTCATTACAAAATATGTACCAGGGTCAGAATTTTATACTTACATCCCCATCTCCATTATGCATGTTTTGTTTTCGTTTTGGTTTTTGGTTTGGTTTTTGTCATAATTTGTTTATACATTTATTTGTTTGTTTGTTAGGAAAGAGCATGAAGTGTTTGGTGATTCAGAAAAACTCATATCACAAGAATTTGTGAGACAATGGTAAGTTCAAGGTGTTTTTTCAGGGTGGAGGTGATAACAACTCAACAATCAATAGTAACAGGTACCCCCTTCCCTCCCCTCTCCCACCTTAATCTGAACTGTGGATTCTTTAATACTTATCTGACACCAGTGTTCTTGCAACAACAAAATTACATATACTCAATTTGCAGATTTCCTTTGTATAACCATGAGTTAAAGGAATGGGGGCATGTGTTGATTGAGAAATACTTGTTGACCCCTCCTTCCCTTGATAAAATTCCTGGACTGTTCAGCCCTAACGTGTATGATCTTTGCCACTCAGACAGAACACACTAAAGCTAGCATGGTTTGATGCTACTCTGGTTTAAAGATTTAGTTAATATAATCTTGAAGTTTAAATTCATAGACTCGTCATTTTGACACTCCTGTCTAGTGCCTTCATCAGGGGTGATCTAATCACTGCAACAAGAGGTCCTTTTATATATTGCAGTGATTAGTTAGTCCCTGTTACATTTATTAAATCTTCAAACCAGAGTAGCATCAAACCATGGTTGACTTTCCACCAGGTTGCCTGTGAACTTAATATAACACACTAAAAGCTATTTTCCTTGCAACTGTTTTAGTTACTTGGACAGAAAGAAAGTTTTGGGAGGTGACGAGGCTGCATATGAGTACAGATGGGGAGCAAGAGCAGAGAAGGAGCTGACCTGGCGACAAGCACTGAAGTTTGTGTCTGAGGTATGCAGCTGACAAACTTCATTTTGTAATTTTGTAATTTTTTTTTCTTTATTGGATCGTCGATACACATCAGTATAATTAAGTGTTGATTGGACAAGGTTCACCCTTTCACTCTCAAGATCTCATTAGTATTTCTTCTTGCTGTTTGCCATACAATTTCTATGATGTCACTTTGGAGAATTTGGTAGTGGATCAACTGGTAATCCCAAATTGATTTTTCTTTATTCTCATCACTTGTTTGCTTGATATTGTGTTGATGTCGTGAGGAGAAATTCTGGCTTCGTCACTCGTGGGAGTTAAAGGGTAAAGATATTTAACCTCTTTTCTTATACCGGTATGGTGGTAAATTCGTGATTCAAAAGGGGTCAGGTTGAAGCGTGCACGGGAGAGTCTGAACAAGAAGAATCTCCACTTCCGGTATTGTACGATTCGAAGTCTCTTCGTGGCATTTCACTTCACTTCGTGTTTTGGCTCAAAAAAACTTCGTGATGTGAACAGCATTTTAAAGATTATTTATGTGACAGTCTAGATGTCCCGACGCTTGATTTTAATTTGGTGTAAAGGAGAACGGTTTTTACAAAACGGAACACGATCTACATTTGTATAGAAAGCTGATCGTGCCACGCAACAGGAGTTTGTACACACTCACTGCTCGTTTAAGACTACAGATTTTCTCCAATTACTCCTCTCTATGACATCTCATAGATCTATGGTACCCAAATGGAAGACTGGACTGCCCAAATGAAGGAGATAACTGCTAAAGAAGAAAGCGATACGAAAGGCTAACAGTGAGAGGATGTTGTAATCTTCAATCGGCAAACAGAAGGAAATATGGCGGACCAGCGCTGTCATTTTAGGCCGCTCATTTCACTTGTTACTGGCCTGCTGGTCATTTCCTTTGACTCTCAGGCCATACCAGATTTATTTGACAAAGATGAAATAAGTACCAAATTGGAAACATACGTACGTACTTTATATTGCACAAACTAACATTTTCTACGCCATAGTTACACTTACATCCATGTAAACACTATTGGTGAAACTCTTTAGGTCAATTTTTAGGTAAACTATTTGTATATCCATGATAAATGAAGATTATAGCTAATTTTCATTGCTATTGTTTTATTTTAAAAAAAAAATTCTATGCGATAGTTACACTCACTTCTATAAAAGCACCATTGGTGAAACTCGTCGGGTGAATTTGTAAATCCATGATAAATGAAGATTACAGTTTATTTTTACTGATAGTATTTGATTAACAAAAAAAAGAAGAGATTTAGTCGTTTTTCCATCTTCGATTGTAAATTTTTTTCCTTCTACAGTAATGCTAGGGTTCGTATGAGGTCTTGAATTAGGAAAGTCTGCAATCTAATCTCCAAAAAACTAGAGATTACATGGAAGACAGCACGAAGAGAGCTGCTAATAATGCTTTGTATTGAGCAGGTGAGGTATGCTCACTGATTAGCTAAACTTACTTAAATTACCTTGGACAGAGCGCTTTTGAATCGCGATCAGAGGATTGTCTAAATTTAGGCATACCTTTTGACAAATGTTACACTAATAACGCCATTTTGTTGAACTCATTTCGTCGAGTCTGGAAGGTTGAAGAGCGGTTAAAATAAAAGGTTAACTGTGATTTTCTACAAAAAAAATGCATTCGATCCCTAAGTGGTTTGGTTTTAATCATGGGTTTTGTGACTGGCCCATAGAACGCTCAAAAACGCTCAAAAACAGCCGCTTATGGGGCAGTGGGAAGAGGTTCAGTTGGTCAGCAAATATTCTTTCCATCTGACTTCAGAGTAATTCAACTGAGGAGTCTTGCATCGTTGTGACGTTCCTTATATCGAATATCTCTCCAGACGATTGATTTATCCTGTTTAGCCCTATTTCAATCCCTTGGGTCAATTTGTCTAGCCCTTCCCCCGGATAAGGATGTTGGAGACAAGGGATGGTGTGGTAAGAGCTTGCTGGAATGACTCCTGTCAGAAAGTGCTGCCCTCTTTTAACCCTTGGGATTGACTAGTCCCCTCCCCCGTCTCCCGGCTCATTCCCGGTAGACGGGGGAGGGGAGGGAGACGCTAAAGCATAACGGGATGACTCTACGAAAAGTCCCTTACGTCGGTAGAAAAATGGTGCAAAATCTACTTGGTTTGTGTCAATTTTTTTTTTAAATTTTTTTCATTCTCTAGCGTTCTAACAGCCCTCGTTAATAGTGCTGCAGGACGCGCGTTTGTCCGCTTGCGGGTTGAGATTTTCCGAGAGTCTGGTACTAAATATTTTCATCATAAGACGTTGCGTTGCTTAAGGTCTCCTATTTTTAAATTGACGCTCGCCCAGAAGTGCTTATAATGAGGGCCAAGAGGATACCTGTTGATATTATCCTGAAAGGGCCTGTTCGTAGGCTGAATATGCTCGTGAAGGTATTTCTACGATAATGTTTTGATTGGCTACACAAGCTATCAACTTGTCATGTTGTCCTAGGATCTGCAATGCTCTTTAGCTTATTTTCACACCGAATGGCCTCGGCCTCTAATTCTCCTCCTCGGGTTCTGATTGGTTCGTTGAATTATTTCCGGCGGCCTTGATAAGATCACGAAGATTATTTGACGTGAGCTGACCTTAAACTAAGAGCCGGCCAAGTTAAGCTCAGCTGTAGAAAGACGGTGAAAAAAAAAAAAACAAACCAATAAGTTTTAATTAATCCTTTGCTGTTAAAAAATCTTCAGTTGGATACTTTAAGATACAGAATTGAGTAGTTAACGGTTCATAGCACACGCATTGATAACGGTAAATGATATCTCAGGGCCAACTGATAACCTTCGGCGCACGCGGGAACCTGAGAGACAAAATTCCTCTAAGGGGTAATTGTTGTAAAGGAAGATTAATTTCAAGACGCAACTCTGGCGTCTATTAATAACATACTTGGGTTATCATTGTGTTTATGGAGAAGTCGCGTGCCTTGGCGTCTGAAGAGGAGTCTGATATGAGAACTCTGCAAAACCCACACCCTCTAAACTTTCTATTCATATGCCGTTATCGTCAACGATGGTAAGAAAGCTGCGTGTGTGGGCAAGTACGAACAAGCATGCGAGAATCTGCCTAATGGGGAATATAGCAACATATTTTTAGTCGTCATTGGAATTGCAAGATCACACTGGTACCTCCTGTTACTGCTCTTTGTGCCGCTCTCGTGTATTTTTACGGCGAGACAATGGCCTTTAGACTTGTTCTTGGTCTTCTAGGGTCCTCAAAGGCGATTATTTGATTCAGAGTATTTAGTTTGGACTTGTTTCATTGGGTTTGCGCAGTTTATTATATCAAGGTAGTAGGTCGGTAGATGGTGATGTGCAAAGTTTCGGTTTTCTACAGAGTTGGATGATGGATCAGAGCTTTCACTGAGGTGGTGTTTTGTTTTCTTGTTATGCAGACAAGGTAAATAGTTTAGCTGATAAATTTTGTTACTGTCGATTGAGGAGAAAGAAAACGTTAGTTGGAGCAGAAAGTGGCGTCAGGGGATATAGATCTCTCTAGAAACAGCTCTCAAAACAAACTATTGGCTATGCCCTTGCTCGCTCTGGTTCAGGAGATATCATCAATCACAGTTTTAAATTTCGAAGTGATAAGTGTCTAATTCTCACAAGAGAATCAAGTCTAAAGAGGAGTTCAGAGCTAAAATTGGAGCTCGCTCGAACGCTATGCAATCGACCCCAAGGTTTGCTGACTTTGATATACCATTTTTTGTTTCAGCATCATGCAATCTTCGCGTTACTCGCTCTAACATTAATATGCCCAGTGAAAACCCGGAATGTGCAAGAATAGACTTGCCTCCATTGCTGAGCAATATAATCGCCGCTGATTGGTTGAGCCCAAAGTATGTAAAACCACAGACTAAGGCTCGTTTCCAGCTCGTTTTTGACACTCCTTGCAGCCGCATGGGAAGTAAAACGATCCTGGGAAAGAGGTGGCCTTGTGTAGCCCTTTTTCGGGGAGTGCCTTTCTTGTTTGGTTTGTTTTTTACTGTTTTATCAATGGTTATATAATTGATTTTGCCGGCAATATTTCGGACCGTGATGATTAAGGAACATTTCATGGGGCAGGATTGCGGGCAGAGGACGTCTTGCATATCGCAATGTACTCCTGAAACTGCTCTATATGTGTTCCATTTGCCCGTGCCAATCCAAGGTTGGGCAGTCTGACTTGTTTCGGCAACTGCTCTTCGTACCATCAGGTTTAAAAGCCCGAGTAGCAGAGAGCCACGATAACTGCAACCGGTTGGATGTTAAACCTGACCACGCCCCTCCCACTTATGAGCTTCCAGCCCTCCTCTTTTCGATAACGATTGCAGCCACTGCTGATGTCAGTTCCAAGCGATGACCATCGTCAGTTATGCCACGAAAAATGTTACGCGGGAGGTAAGAGGGGAGAGGGGGGGGGAGGTGAAAGGAGCTGAGGAGTTATTGGTAGGGAAGGATATCGAGTGACATCATTGCGATCTAACCATGTAAGCTCAGCTTGGTTTAATAGTTATCATTGTCATTGTTATCATTATTTTCAGTTTTATTACTATTATTATTATTATTATTATTATTATTATTATTATTATTATAGTAATTATAATCAGTATTATCATTATCATAATCATTGTAATCTTCATCAGTATGATTTCGTCGTCGTTATAATTATTTTGATATAACTATTGATATTGATAACGTTATTATTATCATCATTATTGTTATTTTTACTGTTATTACTATTCTATCATCATCGTTATTGTTATTTTAATGTTCTGGACTGAAATTATATCCCAGTAATTGAGCTAGTATTTCTATGTTCCGTTTAATTAGGGCTTCCCGTCACCCACGGACATCGCATGAAACCTAAAGAGATTATCAGTGTATTAGGTTTCGTACTGCAGTGTCTTTGTGTTGTGATCTTGAGGAAATTAACTCTCTACAATGGGTACAAACTGTCTAAGACAAGGTTCCAACTTTCTTGAGCCTGTATTTTCGCGGTGAATGATGCACATGCAAAAATCACAAATTGTCATTGTTGATTGACCTTAAACTCTCAGATTCTGCTACATGGGTTATAGTTGAAATAAATAACACGCTGCGTTCCGAAGCTCGTAAGTACGACATTAGAAACTTGATGTCTCCTATACTTCAACAGACAAACAAAGCACACATGAAATGTCAAGTTACCAAGTCATATTTTCGTGAGATACGTGTTCCTCGTCACGTTTGTCACCGCAGTTTTATTTTCTATTTCTAGTTACATTTAAAAAATATTTTATAGCCACGTGACCATCTGTTACATAACACGTCAGCCCCACCTCTCCCCCAAAGTGATAAGCCAACACCCGGAAAACTTTTATTTTGATGTAGCGTGGTTTATTTTCTGCGTTAGATTATCATGTAAGCTCTGAGATTTACCAGTAGCACTCTTATAAACATAAATTGTCATTTGCATATAAGCTATTTCTCAATGTTCTATTCAAGTGATGGTTTAACATACTCCCCTACTTTGGTTAATCTCTGTTCCTCTCCACCCCCTCCCCCTGGGGCTGGCTTTTCAAAATTTAAATAGATGTAAGTTTCGTCTGTGATGGTCTGTCTGTTTATCAGATTGGACTGATTCATTTAAATACCTAAATAAAACGAGTGCTAATCTGTCCCGTTAGGTCTAGATTTTGGCCAACTTCATTCGTTTGTTATTACTATCGTCCACATTTGCTTTTACCCCTGTAGAATGGTACTGAAGACTGGTCCTCACAGGGAAGAAATATAAAGAAAATGTTTATCGCCATATTCAGAACAAGCCCTTTAACCTTATTCAACCATGCAAATGTGATAGGCTCACACGAAATAGACATTAGCCTTATTCGTAAACTTCCAACACCTGCTACAAATTCAATAACTCAGCAAGGGGCTTGTATTGAATTTTTTGAAATTAAATTTACATTTACATTTGCACTGTGTAATCTGATCTAACCAAAGTTATTTACTGATATTGAATCTATCTTGACAGCTTAATTAACCCACACATCTCTTCTATTCGTAATATGCACCTCAAAAAACTTAATACTCTTTTGCTCTGACTTCTAAAAAAAGAATCTCTTCAACAAATACAAGCGCACGAAGTAAGGTGCAATGTGTCATAGCAAACGCGTGGCAAGAAATCAGCGGAAATAATCATAATTTGATAAAAAATTTTAACAGAGGCAAATTAAAGGGGCTGCCTGAGGGACAAAATTCGTTTCCCCTAGTAACTTCCGCAATGGAACACGTTGGAACACGCAGTGACTATAGTAGAGAGATAAGTAAACGCTCTTGTCACAATTGGCTAAAAAAGGAAATAGGGCGCTGGAAGACTGCTTATTCCAAAATTTCTAGCATTTTTCTCTTGCATGCTTAATAGACGGATGTTGGGTAGCTCGTTCATTCATTGTCTCAGCTGGTAGTAGAGCTCAGTTGGTGTGGTGATCTATCTAGTTTTATTCGCTCGAGGTAAGTCTCGATAACATCCATGCAACTGTGGTTATGCTTAATTAATCGCGCAAACAAGTATGTGAGACGTTGAACATTTTGGGCTTACTGTGATTTTAGTGAACTTTGCTTTGAGTTAAAGATCCCTTTT